TGGTCAAAGAAGCTGTCCTTTAACTGGTGCGCAGAGGTTCAAGCCCTTGTGTTGGCAAGCACCCACCATGCTGAAGTGTCCGCACCAATTCTAGGGCAAGTTCTTCTGCAGCTGTCCTCCCGTCTTCTTTCTTCGGCATCTCTCCTCCCTGGATGGGACAAATAACTTAATTCCTTACTTAATCAATAAAGTATATATCATCCTGATGAGACACCATTCCAGACATCCCCTAAGATGGTTTGTGGCTTGCTTTCCTAATCACTGTCTAGAAAGCCAGGGCAGCGAATGATATGACATTTATTACGAGTGACTCAAAAGTATTGCCTTTCATTTGTAGTACCGTGTTCCTTTAAAAGGTCATTTTCATCTTGTGATAACTTGAGTGGCGATTGCCAGCTCCTGCTGTCTTCCAGTGAGAAAAAATATCATGTGCTGAAGGGGATGATAAAGATGTTTTTAATTTCAAAACAGGCTTGAATTTGTCCATCGCGGCACCTCCGTGGTTCCGTGCCATAAAACACACGTCAAGAACTACAGAGTTTGAGCAAACAGTGGCCCGTTTCTAAGCCAAAGACATGGAGCGCCTTTCTTTTTAGATACTGGCTCACAAACTTTGGATCTTTCCCTCCTCCGACTCTGGTGTGGTGTAATGGCGCCACTGTGTGGCAGCAACTTTATTGACGTAAAAATGTCACAATTCTAGGATGTCCTTTACTTATGAATTGGGAGAACAATATGTCAAACAGGGTTCCCTCTCTTTTGTGGAAATCACTTTCTAGGACTTCTCCAGGACATTTTCAGTGATGATCGAGCTGCTACAGACAGGGACTGTGTCATACACTAATATGTTCCTATGTGGAAGTCAGATTTAAAAGACGCATTCAGAGCGTTTCCACAATATAACAGCTTTTTCAAAATAATGTGCTCCACAAACTACCATTTCAACGTTAATGATCCTGAATGTAAATGATCCTGAGAATAATGTAATCTTTTCAGATGGCAATGTTACCCGTTCTCGGGATCTCTGATAGAGAGCCTTGTCGTTATTTCACAGCTGAAGGAAAATACAAGAATGTTGAAATAATTTTCCAGGAAATACAAGATTTTCCAGAACATTTTCCAGTTTTTTGAGAAAAGTGGGAACCCTGTCAAATTGTTTTGTAACGTCTCTCTGCAGGGTGAATGCAGGCATGCAGAAGGATCTCTTAAATACAAAAAGACTAAAGCCTAAAGTATTTGTGAATATTAAAGTGACAATAGAGATTTGACCAGTTAGTTAATTTAGATAATTTCCCATAAAATTAAATATTAAAAGAGTAAAAAATAAATAATGCGAAAGAAAGTGATTTATGTAATTTAGGCAAGCGATGGATGGCTAAAGTATACGATTGAAACATTGCATTTTAAATAAACTAACTGGTGACAGTGTGCAGGATTTGCTTACTTTCTTTCAAAGTAAAGAGTTATCTTAATATAAATGTATCTTCAACCTCGTTCTGTGCTCCAGCTGCCTTATTATCCCCAGTAGTCTCATGTCTCCCATTTGAATACATGAGTCGGATGTCCACATGTAGTTATAGTATGTATTTTGCTCAAGTACCTGTCCAGTCAAAAGATACTGTGTGATTTTACCAATATAATCCAGAGGGTGGCAGGCTTCACACATGGGCCAAGTGGCTGGAACAGCTTACGAATTACACCCACATATTATAATCTGCAAAACTGGCTGGAACTTTTTTTTTTACTCTGTTATAGTAGTTTCATAAAGTGGCAATATCATTATGTGGAAAAGACCAACTGAAGTGATTCATCTTGGTTTACTCATGGGGCAGGGTGTGGGCATTAAAGAAGGTGGGCTGATTCATCTGAGGTGAACTGTTACTCATCATGCTGTGGGTCTGTCTCTGTAAATCCACTTAAACTTGAGCAACAGCCCTGATTTGGTATTCACACTACAACTATTCCCCCTTTGAAAGTATCCGAATTCAATCGCTTCCGGGGTTGTTTCTTTTTCTTTTAGTCAGTTCAACACCAGATTTTAACTTTTTCAAAAAGGTTTCTTTAAGATTGTAACTGTATTTTTGTAACGCTGGGCAGTTATGGGCTGCATGTATAATTTAGTATTGTTCAATATAAGGCAACCAGTACTATTTCCACAAGCTGAGTAGTACTCACTCCCAATGACTGGAAAACTGACCTTAAAGTGTCATGTTGGGGGACTGGCCCTTTACAAATATGTACCTTTAAGTTAATTGACCAAGCTAACAATTTAAATGTAATTTAAAGTAAGGCCAGTCTTCTATCAATATATCAATCAATGGTTAGCCAGTCCCATCCAGCATCAATATGTTACAAAAAAACATGTAACTCAGGCTAACCATTGCTAATACCATTTCCTTTTGGTCCATTTATTTAAATTTAAAATGTATCTTACACTGAAAGAATATTAATACAAAATATTTTGTTTCTGTTATGCTAAATACTAGTCAATGTTTGTTTGTTTTAAGTTACATTAGTGTACTGCTATGCTGTCATTAAGATACAAATAGACTGACATATATTATATATATAATAATGTTATAATAATGTGTTGGCTAATTTCTGGGGTCCTCGTGAGGCTAGCCTAGCATTAGCTCTGTCTGACATGTAGAGTTAGTTAGCTTGTCACTTGAATTTAGCGCACTATAAACTGAAGTAGCAATGACGCAACTAACTAGTCCTGCAGACGTTGGTTTAATTATGTAAATCCCAAACATTATAACACCTGGTTTTGGTGCAAACCCACCTTTGCTTTGGTGCGCTGAGCATTAAGCCAGCTTACTTCCTCTAACGGTCCCTCCTCCTCCTCTCTGATAACGTTACCTGTCTCTCTGCACGGGGCGTGTTTTTACTCCATGAAGGTGCCTCATTCCTGGTTCATTCCACCTCACAAGACATTTTCTAGGAATAGCTCACCGGCAGAAAACTTTGAATAAAGGTAAGAGTGTTTTTCAGAGTCTTGATGTTGTTAATGTTGGGCCATTATCCGTTTGGGATTGAATAAAGCAGACTTTTAATGTCCCAAACCAGATTAAATAAATCATATGATTGGGTCCAGTTGGGACTTGTGCGTTTGTTTGTGGCAGGCCTGCACAGAAGGAAGTTAATGGTTAATTTGTAGGACTTTATTGTACTATTATTGCTATACTAAGGCCGGGTTGACACTGTACTGTATTCTGTGAATACCAAAACTTAACGGGAGTTTATGTCTGACATTTTAGTTTTTTATTCCAGACCATTTGCTTTAGTGTGAAGGATTTTTATAATAAGAGATGCACGGTGCTTTTGGACATTGTCTCAGGTAGTAGTTTGTGTGTATTTATGGCCTACTGTAAAGACAGGGTTGTTGTATTTTTCATAGAGTGAGAATGTCTTTTTCCAATGCTGCATTCCTCTAGTTGTTCCAAAATTAAGTCCGCTCTTACAATGCAGTTTTGGTTGGAAATGAAACACCTGTAATTTAGAAATAGCAGATTAAACACTGGTCACACTGGTTACCTTTTTAAGGAGTTAGGAGTTATGAGAGCTCTTTAAAACCACTGCATATTTGATATGAAAAAACTATAGTAATTTATTTTACTTTCTTGTTTGCATTTTGACGAGGCCCAAATTACATCACTGCGCATTCCGTCACATTTTTGGCCTTTATTCAGCGAGTGTAATACTGTGGAAGTCGATTCATCACGCTCCAACACATCTCAACAAGCCTTCCCTCAGCAGATATGCAAACTCAAAACTTTTATCTGTACCCTACAGCTGCATAGGGAGGGAGCAGCGCAAAGAAAGCAGAGTTGAGTTCATTAAACCTAGCCTCCCGGCAACACAGTTTCACACAGTAACATTCTACATTTCCACTGGGCTACCCAGGACAAATGAAAGAGGTATTTCTATTGATAGCCCTAGTCTAGACGAGTGTGTGTGTGTGTGTGTGTGTGTGTGTGTGTGTGTGTGTGTGTGTG